CTCAAACTTGGGTCTCTAGCTGTGGTTGGACTACAACTCCCATCATCCCAAGTTAGCAGAACCAGTGGTCAGGGATGATGGGAGTTGTAGTCCAACAACAGCTAGCGACCCAAGTTTGAGAAACACTGGCCTCTCCCCTTGTGGGAACCTAGTCTTGGAGGGCCGCATTGTACATAGCAGTTTTCTTACATAGGTTTAATTTTTATGTAGGCCAAAGCTTCTCCACTGCTCATGTGAACTTGCATATGTCTTCTTTGCTGCATGCATCTATAGCTGTAGCTTCTCACTTGGCATGCATGTGATGAAATGGATTCCTGGGCACCTTTATCTTTTCACATAATGGTGCAATTATGGCACATATACGTGGCCAGCATGTGTTTTCCAGTACAGAAGTGACACCCACATTAGAAGGTGAAGGAGCCTCGAGACTCCAGCACAACACATTGCCTCCTCATCGCACCTTCCTCTGTAGGACAGCCCTGCTGCATTCTCTGTGCCCTTGTTTCCATGAGGTGTGCTTACTGAGGTGTGCCATTATCTCTTTCGTAGGAGCGGGGTTTGTGGGGTGCAATCACCCTGCTATCATTGTTTGCTGGTGCAGTCATGGCAACCCCGCAGACCTGGCACAACAACCAGACATTGGGAGCTGCCTCTGATGGAAGCATGGGCACTGCCAGCCCTGCCTCTCTGGAGGAAAATAGCAGGGAAGCATCGTCACTGGGCACATGGAGCCATTGGCACGGTAGGAACCTGGCATGTCTCATGGGGAAGTGGGTGAGAGTCTGGGGTAGTGAGGATCTGAACTTTTCCCAGTTGGATCCTCACCCACACAGTGGTCCCTAGCTTCCTTTGTCTCAGGCACTGCTGTGATGCTTTGCCTCTCTTTAAATCATTTACCCACCCACCCCATGCCCATTGAAACAGGCAGTCCATTTGCAGAGGAAATGGAAATAGGTATATTTCTGCCTGTTATCTTTTGGGCAGATTGAGCCCCATGCCCTTTTCCTTGATTCCCGGTGCCTAACATTCTCCCCATGTCCTCCTTTCCGCTCACCCCTCTTCTTTTTTTCCTTCAGGGGGAAACGTGACCATAGACAGGCTGAGCTCTTCGGAACTGCTCAGGGCTGAGCGCTCCCCAGCCAGCTCCAGCAAGGCCAAGAAAGGATCCAAGAAAGCCGGTCGCAGCAAAAACAGCCGCTTCTGCCGCCTGCACAGCCGGCTGGTGAAGGTGCGGGACCTTGGGCTGGGCTTCGAGTCGGAGGAGATTGTGCGGTTCAAGTACTGCAGTGGGTCGTGCCAGCGAGCCCGCACCAACTATGACCTGGCCTTGAGTAGCCTGCTACAGCAACGCACCATCGTGCCTGGGCCTCATGACCACCCTTCCTCCCACCCCTGCTGCCGCCCCACCCGGTATGAGGACTTCTCCTTTATGAATGTGCGCAATGCCTGGCAGACTGTGGACCATGTCTCAGCAGCAGAGTGTGGCTGCGTGGGCTGAGGGGGCTGCCTACTCCGAGCTCGCAGTTTGTCACTGAGGCTGCAGCCGTGCCTAGGGCCTTGCTCCATTGGTGGGGCATGAGACGCGGAGAGACACGGTCTGTGGTGGGGCTTTCCAGGTCAGGCAGAAGCAGCACATGGACAATAAGCAGGAGGAGAGCATGATGGCCATGGCTCGAAGGTGCCTAGGCCTTCATCTCCACATCTGTGGAACATTTTCATAGGGTACTTTTCCTCACAGCAGCAAGATGGTGAGATGGGCCAGCCAAGCCTTTGAGGGCTGCAAACCCACACTGGGAGGAATTCTCCCCTTTAGGGTTTGGTCCGTCAACTGTGTCGTGCATTTGCTCACCCATCAAGTTGCACCCTCCAGTGGAGAAGCAGCACTGGGATTTCCCATACCTTTACTCAAGGGATGGATAGGGATGTAGCCTGAAAGACCTGTGGTGCAAATGGGTAGGTTCTTGAGCATCACTCCTTACCACTTTGTCAGGCAGTGGAAAGAATTGGCTGCTCGCTCAGGTCACCTGGCCCTGTCAATTGCAAGGCTGATGTTCTCTCCCACTTTAAGCCCCCAAACCTTTCCCTGAGCAACTTGGTTTGCTCCATCAGGGAACAGATGTAGTTGAACACGAAGGACAGAGTCACAATGCTTAGCAGCAGCTTCAGGGTCAACCTATAACTGGTGAGCTTGTGCTCTGACGGTCCAGCGATTGCTACTGCTGTCAGTCTTGTGCTGGGATGTTCGGCACAGTTGTTGAGGACTGAATGGAGCACCTTCCTGGTTTTGTACTAAGATGGTGGTAATTCTTAGAGTCTTTGACCTGGTTTGGGGAGCTTCTCCTGGTGAGAACAAGCCCTTGGCAGATGGGAGGCTGGTGGCTGGACCTTGTGGAGATCGAGAAGCACAGCTGATGGAAGTCTTATGTTTCCACAGCGTAATTAAGGCATCTATTGCTATAGAAAATGGTCTTATCCTATAAAACCAATGATGGTGTTAACATCCTGGTTCGCAACATTCCCTAACACACCAGCAGCAGCTTGGAGTTTGGCCACTACAGTTGCCAGGCCAACACTGGAAGCAGCAATAGCCCCTGCCAATCCCCGAGTCAGCCATCACTTGGTGCCGGCAGGGTGGGGAACTCTCTGTCCTAGAAGTGACACTTTCTGAACAAAGTTATTTATTCTCTAACTTATTTATTTATTTGTTTGAACCCCACCCTACCCACCCAGTGGCACCTATTTATGATGCTGAGAGTCGGGCCTGGTGTACCATTGAAAACGGGTGCTGATGTTATGTCCCGGCCTGTGAACAGCAGTTCCTACTCCCTTTTCCCTTCTTGGCCTGATCAAAGGCATTTCCTCTTTTTCCTTTCCTGATTTTTATATTCTCTACCCTTTATTTGCATTTGAATAAACTCTATTTTTGTACAGCAGCAACTTCCTGTAGCAATAAAGCCTGTTAAGGCAGTGAGAAATTGGCTTCGTGTGTATCTGTGTAGGAGGGGGGGAAACAACAAATATGCAAACCAGCTTAATTCATAAATATAGTTTCTGAAGCAAGTGTGGGCGCAGACAAGCATTTGACTATGTGCCTTGTCATCTCAAAGTTTATCACCCATGTGCCAGACCTCTTGTTTATACGTGCTTGGTTGAAAGTGAGTTAAAAGGCCAGCAGATTGAACTCTGGCCAGCAGTGCCTAGGAGAATTTACTAAGAGCTGCTTCCTTTCTAGGTAAAAACCTGCAAATCCTGGGAGTCCTCTCACCTCAGTTTCAGGGTAAAAAGAGGGTTTTGTGCAACAAATGTTAAGTAACTTTGTGAAAAGTATTACAGACTAGTCCATCTTAACATGGCAGTTGACGTTCCTTTATTCAAAACTGGATCCACTGACATACAGTGCTGGTAAATGGTTACCAGATAGTATAAAAATAAGCTCTAGAAACCTCTGGAATGCTTAGAATATGTTATTTTATTCATTTCTAACAACAGCACAGGTGGTAAAGGATAGATTGTGCTGCTGACCTTCTCCAATTTGAGCCAAGGTTAAGCTAGCATCTATCAACACATTCCTGAAAGGAAAAAGGGAGTTCTGTTGGAGTGACTTTTCCACACTGAAAACAAAAATTCTGAAAAGTAAGACCCCATTAAAACTAGAGACAACATGGCTACTCCTCCATTTGGTAGAAAATACAATGTCTTTTATGATACCCCTAGTGCATGATGCATGCATATTTATTGTTGGATAAACATTGTACAAGTCACATCTCCAACACTGGTCAGAACAATCTGAGATGTTTTCAAACTTAGCAGGTAGTAAATATCAGTGGTAAGCTATTTTATTTATTAATTAAAATATTTACAACCTGCCGTCTACACCAATCATTAAAAATAACAAATCCAACTACCGATCAGGATTGGATAAACAAATAATAAAGAATCTTTAAACACAAGTGATGGTAATAACAAATTAGGCACGCATAACTGCATGTACTCCAGCAGTTAGTTATGCAAACACGTTTCACACATTACTAAATCCTGGACTAGTGCCTACCACACAAGTAGCTTAAGCAGTGTTTATACTGGCGCCTGTTGTGCAGTGTTTACTTAGAAGTTAGTCCTGGTGACTTACTCTGTCGAAGAGTGTAGGAGTGCATCTGTAAAGTAGCTGCCCCCCCCTTTCTGCCCAGGTTCATAAAGACACCCACTGGTGTGGTCTTAGGGCTTGGTTGTTGGTTGTTTAAATGTTTAACCAGGGCTGAGGAACCTCAGGGATGGGGGCTGATTGTAGCTCTCCAAATTCTCTTTCCGGCCCTGAGACCTCTTAGGCCACATCCTTCACTGACTGGCCTATGGCCTTTCAGGGGCCCCTCGACAATGGATCAAAATAATATTGACTTGGTCTTTAAAGAAAATTACAAAAAATATATTAGGAGATAATTTGTGAGGCCCCCCCCCAATATTTCAACTGCCATGGGGCCTCCACAGGGTTTAATCCAGCATTGTCACTGACCCTGCTCTGTGCCCCCTTCAGCTTTTTATCTGACCAGAACATGTCATTGAACTGTAAAAAGTAGCCCACTACGCAGAGGTGAGTCACATCCGATGCTCTGCCTTCTTTTACACCTGACCCCACTCACCAGTGCCACTTGAAAGGTTGTCTACCGGGATTGGGAGTGTTTGTGTAACTTACTTTGAGTGATTTATGGGTTACCTAAGCGTTTCCATAACATTCTATTTTATACCAGCTGCAAATCTGCTGCTGCTACGAGGTACCTGGACCAGCCACTTCCAACTTCGTCCGCCCCAGTCTCGCAGAATCCCACTGCTTAGCTGAGATTCACTAAAATTTTTTCGCCACCAGGGGGTGCAGTAGGCAGAGACTCGCCACACTGCAAGAACTACAACTCCCATGAGCACCCCTCGGCCAATGTATCTCTCGCTTCCGGAGCTGGGAACTACAACTCCCATGATCCTTCCGCCACAAGCTTGGTCCTCAGTGGGAAGCGGCTGTTCTTGGCGCCTGACTGGAAGCGAGCGAGCGAGCGAGCTGGCAAGAGGGCTTTTGGCGTGGACAACCCGGCAGCGCGTGAGGCCCTCCCTCCCTCCGCTCTCACTGGGTGCCCCACTGGGTGCCCGGCCCAACTGCCAGTCAATTAGTCCGACTGAGTGGCCAGGGAGGCGTCTCGGCGGCGGTGGCGGCAGCAGCGGTTGCCGCTTCAGGCAGATAGAGGGACCCTCCTCGGGGGGCGTTGAGCGGGAGGGGCCGGGCGAGTACGAGACCGGCAGACGCCCTTCTGTCTGTCTGTCTGTCTGTCTGTGGCGGGTGATAGGCAGGCACCTCCTCCGCCATTAAGGGCAGAAGGACAGATTCCCCGCTTCCCCAGGAAATTTGCGTCAGTTTATCAAGCCTTTTCTGTGCTCCCTCCCTCCCTCCCAATAATCCCACTCAAGGCGGGGCGCAGATAGTCCGTGCGCTTTACCGGGGCGGAGGCAGGTAGCTTCCATTCACTCTGAATCTTGTTGGGAACAGGCGGGAGATTCTCCCCTTATTTCCCTGCTGAGAGTCCCGTCCCCCCCACATCGCCCTGTGGGGGGCAGCTAGGCATGTATCCCTCTTGCAGAGAAGAATATTGGGAAATAATCCGGCAGCCCCCACCCCTTTTTTTAAAAAAAACCCTCCCATTGACAGGCTGAACACACGTAGCACTCCCCTTTCCTTCGGGCGAGACACAGGCAGAGAGAATTGCCCTTTCTCTCTCGGTTGGGGGGCTGCTCTTCTCTTCTTTCTCCCGTCCTTCCACCCCAAGATGCTGCTGCCGCCGCTGTCGCCGCCGCCGCCTACCCCCCTGTAGCTGAGCCCCAGTGCAGGGCGAGGCTCAGACCGTCGGCGTGCCGGCGCCATGGAGCGCCGAGGGGAGGCTGCCGCCGCTGCCCTCCCGCAGACCCTGGACTTCACCGTGGAGAACGTGGAGAAGGTGAGAGGTGGGCAGGAGGGGCCGCTTTAGGGTACCTGTGTTGTGGTTGCGGGGTGGCTTGGGTGGAAGTGCCTTATCCTACACCCCGGTTAATTTCCGTGCACGGGATTAGGAGCTTTCAATGTGCTCAGGCTTTCAGTGTACATTTGTCTCAGGCAATGCTGTCTTGAGTTCCAGTAGTTTTGTACTTCACCTATTAGGTGGGCATAGCTGCTCCCATCTTGATCTTCTTCAGGGGATTGAGAGTGCCCTTGGCATGTTATTGGTCTCTGACATTGGCTTCACGGTTTAGTTTGCACTACTGTAGCCTCTGAATCCCATTGAGTCGCGCACACACACTCACTTTGGAGTGGCAGTAATATTGGTCCTTACGTTATGATCTGGGAACCTTTCCTCTGCTTACCTCCTTCTGAGAGCGTATCATGATGAGCCTGGCAGGGGGGGGGTGACACTACTGCTGCTGGCTTGAGGGGGCATTTGCAGAAGTGATGCTCTGCCCTGACAGCATACCCAGGGGGCATCCTGTTACTCATTGAATCCTTAGCATGTCATAGTCATGGCACTTTGGGCTTTCTCCTTTAGCTTCACTCTTCAGGAGATACCCTGTAGTTGTAGAAAGCAAAGTGGCCTTTAGAAACACACCTGGAAGATGAACTGTTGTCTGGTGACTGCTTTATTCTTTTGGCAGTTGTGTAATCACCTGCCTCTGTTCTCTTTTAGATGTTGGTATAAATGTTCCCTAATTCACAGGAGTTATTTAAATGGTATTGTAATACTGGCTATGACTCCTGGCATCTCCATGTAAAAGGTTCTGATGGCAGGTGATGGGAAAGACCTCTGTCTCAGACCCTGGAGAGCTCCTTCCACTTAGAATAGTCTGTCCTAGTATAAGGCAGCTTCCTATATTTACATGAATTTTGTAATGAGAGTAACCTTTTATATTGAGGGCCTCATTCCTTAGCAGTCGTTTGCCGGGGACTGCATGCTGATCATGGGTGGGGCTGCCACCAGCTTTCCTTTCTCTTTTCTGCCACTCCTTACTTCTCTCTCTCTTTCTCTCCCTCTCTCCTCCTTCTCCTCCTCCTCCCTGGCCAGCAGGCTGGGGGCAGGGGGAGATCACTCTTGCCAGAGATGGCTTGCTGAGGGTTTTTAAAAATTGGTTAGCAGGTGGCCCACCTCTGCTATAGGCATACCACACAGTGAGTGCCACCACTTGGTTCAAGGCTAAAGAGGATCTTACCTATGTAATTGTTCCACATTCCTTCACTGTAATGCTTTTGCAACTATTTCTCAAAATTCTTTGTGGTGGCCTTGTGGAAGGCAGGCTGCTAATTAAAATACAATTGTGCTTCAGATTTATACAATGCATTTTTGAAAGATCAGAAACAACCATATACTGTAGACAAGTATTTTTGTCCCCATGTTGCAGATTGAATGTTGAAGCTGATGAATAGTAGCTTATTCAAGACTATCTAGTGAGTTTATGTGTGGATTGAAGAGGGACTTCCCAGTCAAAGCTCACACTCATAGTCACTACGGTATATTGCAGTAAAACAGCTCTTTATCTGTATCCAGGTAAACTATCCCTATCTCTGGACTGTGATGTGCTGTATAATGGACATTAACAAGGAGAAGCAAGAAGAATGGATGCTGTGGTACTAGTTACTGAAAGGGCACCATATTTCTTGAGGCTCCATCTTAAGTTGTGGGGCAGTCTGTGTTTTGATAATAGTGAAGATTTCACTTTGCCAAGTGATTGGTTTCTTAACTGTTGCTGCCTGTTTGTAAGAATAAAATTCTACACTTACAAGATAGAAAAGCATGAGCTTGGAGCTGTTTTTGAGAGGTTGTTAAGGAATGATACTTAGAAATATCTATAGCTATGTGTTTTTGGAGATTTCACTCAAGTGTAAGTAGAACTCCAATCTGCTCCCGTTTCCCACATTGGGCATATGTATAATTCATTATAATTGATTATGATGAATATAATTTATCTTTAAATGAAAAGGAACATTTCTAGCCTCCAGGTTTTTGAAGGTGGGCTTGAAAATGTGTGAACAATATCTGATGAAATATTGAAAGCCAAGGATACCTTGTAAGTTTCCTAGGGGCCATGGAACTGGAGCTCTGTGGCCTGCATAGCTCCATGTCTAGGAAAAGCAGAAAAAGTGCACTCACTTTGAATAAGTTATACATACTGCAGAAATTTTCTTTTCCTGGTTGAAACTGGGATACTTTGGCCTGAAAAAAATTAAAAGGCAGTTTAGGGTTAGTCCTGAACAGTTTATTTTTCTCCCTTTCTGATGAGTAAAGTTCTGCAGGATGGAAATTGTTATTTCTGTTAAACAACACACATCTTCCATTGTGGCTTTGTAGAGTGCTCTGTTGTGGACCTGTCACTATTCAGGCAGCTTTAACCTGCCTTTGCTGCCCATTGTATTTTCCGAAGCACTGGAGCAGCCACTCCCTATTGCACCCTGAATTCTGTCATTCTGCTCGTGTTAAATTGTCACACAGGTTCCAGGCAGCTCACTAGTAGGGATTATGACATTTAGCCCTCTTCCTAGCAAAGCCCAGATAGTGACAACTCACCAAGGTATATCTTTAGAACCTGACTTGCTTCCCTTTCTTTGTTTATTAGATCCATAGCCAGGAATGGCAGACTCCTAGTCCAAGGCTTTAGGCCATGATGTTAAAAACCTCCCACTTTCACAGTGCATATGGAATAAGGGTTTGTGCTTTCTGCAAAGTTATATAGTAGCACTAGCTTTTGTGGCCTAATCTGTTACTGGGTAATGCTGCTTTATAATTCCCTCTGGAAGGAACGCACAGGCAGCTTCTTTGTGCGAGCTGACAATAGAGCAAATGTTGACATCAAGAAAGGTCAGTACACCCCAGGTGGTGATTAGCTCAGCAAGTGCTGTGGTAGAAGTTGGAGCCATCAGGGGTGTGCCAGAATGGCTCCCACACTGGCTGGGAAGGGCTGTAGCAGGCTCTCAAATATGTTTCAGCCCCCCCCCCCCCGTCTGTCTCAAACCTTCTTTGCTTCGCTGCCTAGCACTGCTTGCATCAAGCTTTCCCGTAAGATACAACTGTTATGCTATAACAGTGGAGATTGGTTGGCTGACTGAGGAGGAAGGGTGTAAGCAGGCGATTGTGCCATAATAGTCTGTATTTAGTGCCAGTTCATGCTGCAGGAAGCATTGACTATTGGGGTCAAGATACAGGTTTTAGAGTAGGGTCAAATCTGCCATGCATTTGCCTCATCAGCCCAAGGCTTTTTTTTTTTTTTTTTTTTGCTGCAAGTGACAGAAAGTGGTACTTTGCCAGGGTAGATTCAGACTGCTTTCTTAAACACGTGGTGTGTTTTTTGTAATAACAATACTCTCTGGTCTTGAGGCTGCCTCTTCATGGCAGGTGCCACAGATCCAGGGAGTCAGCATCTAGCCAAACCAATATGCTCATGATCCAGTTCCAGAAGTGACTGAGTAGGCTAACCAGCTTTTGCAGGAGCTCATAGATTTGGTTTGTAGTTATCACTGTAGCAGACATTTAGACCAAAGTAGTTAATGACATGGGGGACGCGGGTGGCGCTGTGGGTAAAAGCCTCAGCGCCTAGAGCTTGCCGATCGAAAGGTCGGCGGTTCGAATCCCCACAGCGGGGTGCGCTCCCGTTGCTCGGTCCCAGCGCCTGCCAACCTAGCAGTTCGAAAGCACCTCCGGGTGCAAGTAGATAAATAGGGACCGCTTACTGGCGGGAAGGTAAACGGCGTTTCCGTGTGCTGCGCTGGCTCGCCAGATGCGGCTTTGTCACGCTGGCCACGTGACCCGGAAGTGTCTCCGGACAGCGCTGGCCCCCGGCCTATAGAGTGAGATGGGCGCACAACCCTAGAGTCTGTCTAGGGCAGGGGTACCTTTACCTTTACCTTTAGTTAATGACACCTGGCTGTCACAGGCAGGGGTTGAACTAATACTAGGCACTTCTTTCATATTCAGTGCAGAGCTACCCAACCTCACACATTAGTTTATGAATGAAGAAGCTTAATTGGTTCTGAATGTTTGAATTATCCAGTTCAAAACTTCAGTGAGCAGGGGAAGCTTGGGAAAAGCAACATAAAGAAAAAGGAAGTTAAAATAGCTATACCAATTAAAGTGCAGCTTAGATTTTAACCTTAAGGAACAAGGCATTATATATTTATGGTACAGTGTTCAAAACATTGGGGGTTTTTTTGTGTGGTTTTTTTTGGGGAAAGATCTTTCTTACTCTTAGCCAGAGAGCAAACCAGGTGGCTTTTCTGTTTCTTAGCCTAGACAAGCTAGTTTTTCACACAGGAGAACAGACAGGATGCAAGAAACTCCAATGAAACCAGAGACGTGCCCTTACATCTAAAGCCTTTTTGGTCTTGTGATAACACAGGCCCATTTGGCTTAGAGTGAAGTATTCTGGTTGCATTTCACATTGGATAAAGGCTTCAGGTCAGAGGCAAGTGTGTAAGTTGCCATTTTGCGCTTTTTATTGGGTGACTCTTAGGAGGTGACTTATCTCCCAGCAGAAGCCAAGGGATGTGAAAATGTATAGAGGAATTATCTTATGCTGTGTGTAATGCAACAATTGTTTGGGGTACAGGAAAAAATGGTTGCACTTTCAATAAGAGATGTGTAAAAAATGCATATTTCTCTGGCTTCAACAGGTTGGTAAAAATAGAAAAAATGAATCTGAAGATGGGAACACCTTGGAAACACCACATTTCCACCACTGGAAGACATTGGGTTGAATCTGTACACACATGCACTCCACTCTTCCTATAGCCATCTTGATGGTATTTTAGGCAGCAGTTTCTGTTAACTTTATGGCTTCAACATAAATGCATAACCTTTCTGCATTTGTGTGATTGTGTTTGTTCTCAATCCAGTGTGTTTTAATGGTTAAAGTGTTGGGCTATGACTTGGGAGACCAGAATTTGAATCTCTAGTCAGCCATGAAGCTCACTGGGTGACCTTGGATTT